GCACCTTAGTCCTCACTTACCACATATTCAGCGATTATTTGAAATTATGATGGCACTGAAAAAGGAGATTTACACCCACTTCTGAAAATGGCTGTTATTGTAGCATCCCCAGATACATGATTATAATTCAGGAACTTGGCAACTGCTGCACATTTGTGATGTTCGTACCATCCCACAGTCACCATCACCATCTGGGAAATTCATAGCTGGCTTCCAACAAGAAAAGTCAAAGGGGAAGCTGTCAGGAAGTTGCAGGTCATGGTCACATGACATCGTGCTTAACAGTCGTGGTTGATTCACCTAATGAATCAACCAGAATTGACAAATTGACGTTGTAAGTCAGTGCAATCACATGACAATTATGACCTCAGTGGAGTTGCCAGTCCCAATTATGATTGGTAGGTGAGGACTAACTACTGCAAAATTTGATAAGATAAATAAAATATTTAAGAAAGCCTTAAACACTATGTTGGCTCTTCATTTGACAACAATATATTTTCAATAAGAGCTGTGGTATAAAACCCAGTGGTTAGAATGCAATATTGCAGGCTAATTCAACTCATTGCCAGGAGTTCAATCCTCACTGGCTCAAGGTTGACTCAGCCTTCCATCCTTCTGAGGTCAGTAAAACAAGGACCCAGATTGCTGGGGACAATATGTTGACTCTGTAAACAGCTTAGAGAGGGCTGTAAAGCACTGTGAAGCAGGATATAAGTCTAAGTGCTACTGTTATTGCTATAATTATTCAAACAGAAGAAAAACTTAAGAAGAATAAATTCTTTCCACCAAGTTTGCTTTCATACATACTCTGATAGTTTTAGGCAAGGTGGAAGGAGGCTGTACTTCTAGAGGTTTTTTTCTTGGTCTGTTCTCAGATTAAATATTATTTTTGTTGGGTTCTAAGCAAGCCATTTCATGCCTGTGATGATACTTATTGCCTTGAAGTGTTTTTAAAAGGCGCTACCCAACTCTTTCTGATTTTAAGCAGCCTATAGTAGCCCTAAGGCAGCAAATGAAAACATAGCCCATCTTCAGGAAACTAGAGAACAGTTTATAAGCCTCCAAGCACACTTGGAAATGATCTTTCATCTCTTCTATTTCCTAAACAGCAGAGCATTTACAAAATGAGATGTAATGTGCTTCTTTCAGCAGACCTGTAGGGCAGATTTAAAATCATTTTATATAGGAAATGTATCTACAATTGTTGATTAGGAAACAGAAATAGCCACTCATGGTTTCCTCTGATATACCTCTTCTAGAGGTATATTACAAATGCATCACACCTTTCCTGTTGTGTTTTCAGATCAATCTGAGAAATTTTATGTTTCTGTACTGCTGTCAGACAAAAATGACTTCATCACATTTAATGTTGTAGAATTTTATGTGCCACATATAGTCTGCCACCTTTGTGAATTGGCCATTTGACTGTTAGCTGATCACAATCTAATTTTCTTTTCTGCCTGTTTTGAAGTGGTTTTAGATTGTAAATGTCTGTGTTCTCTCCAGTTGAAAAAACATAGGCATAAAAGAACAAGTAATGGAGAATGATAGGAATAAGAGCTTATCTTGTTTAAAACAGTAGATGATATGTGGCTGGTTTGGTGAAAAAGACACAAAGCAAGAATATAAATCAAGAGAAGATTAAAGATGAAAATATAATTGGGAAATTATTAGAAGCAGACTAATAAAAAGAAGCTTAAATCATAACATCTGCGGTAATTATATAGGAGGATGAGAAAAAGAAAGACTTAATAAAAATGTCCACATTGGAGTTACCATTCAAAATCAGGTATTTCTGATCTAACTGATATATAAACAATTCCATTTAGGGAGGCACATTTAATACCTGTCTCTGGTTATTAAAAGCAGTTATTATTTAGCAGTCTACTGGTATATTTTTATTGTTTTCCTTTGTGCGAGGGGCTAAAGCCAGAGACCACAAATATAGAATAATTATATTTATTAGGTGGGTGGGCCAAAACTGGAAATCTTGATGCTGTTTATAACTCTGCTTAGGAAGTTAATTACATGACTTAAATAATAATACTCAGCAATGATTTTATTTGATCCATTTAGCTGAAGAGGCACAAAGCATAAAAAACACAAATGGATTTGAGCTTGAAATACTTTCATCCACCTGTTGGTATTAAGCTATTGTAATGGAATCAGCAGACTATTTCAAAATCTCCTCAGAAGCCTTAACAATTTTTAGGTTTGCCTGTTCAGACGCATTTGTCAGTTCCTATGACAGGGAAACTATCCATAATAAAAGTTTTGTCAGAGTTTTTGGGAGAGACACAGTTTGAAGACACTGTGTATGTTTTATTATTTTTACAGAAGTGGGCATACACAGATCTGGGTATATTCAGGTATATTTCTAGTCCACACATAACATTTTATGCAGGCTACCAGAAAGCTGACTTAAGCAAAGCATACTTTGGAGCTCCTGCAAAACTACTTAACATATTTACTTGACACAATCATTCTTTAATCCCAGGTTTCTTTTATTAACTAGTTGAGGACTATTATCTGACTATGCCCCTTGTTCAATGTTTTAGCTGGATCCTGCTTTGGACATTTTTCTTTCCTTCACCTTAAACTCTAAATGTGCCATTCAACTGCATGACTCATTCTCACTTACAGAAATACAGGCACTGGAGTGAATTTTTTTCTACAACAAAATTTGGGATTACATTGAAATCTTGGGTGGGAAAGCTGAATCATGCAGTGTCCATGGGAATTCTAATGTAAGGAGGAGAATCACATAATCTTCAGATTCTCTGAGATTAATTAATTAATTGATTGATTGATTTCCATTTATATTGTATGGCTGCCTATCTCAAATTCATGACTGGGTAGTTTACAGCAGTTTAAAGTACAACAAGGTATCACAATAACAATATTACTGTCAGCCTCGGTGATTCCAGAAAAGCAGCTGCACAGGAAGACTAAAAGTCCTTTTTTTTTTTAGATTGGCTGTAAAAGAATCTTGTAAGTCTGATTGTACTGCATGTACCTCCTTGTCCTCCTTATCGTTCAGTACTTCTGTGACCTACTTTGAAATGTTATCTCATGAACTGCCTAAGCAAACAAAGCCTGCATAGCAGAGGTGGTATTCAGCAGGTTCTGACCAGTTCTGGAGAACTGGTAGTGGAAATTTTGAGTAGTTCAGAGAACGACAGATACCACCTCTGACTGGAGATTTTACAGTATCCTTCCCCTGCCACACCCATGAAGCCACGCCCACAGAACCAGTAGTAAAAAAAATTGAATCCCACCATTGCTGCATAGCTCTGTCAAGGTCATCTTCTTTTACCCTCTCCACATACAAATGTATTCAGCAGCTAAGATAAAAACTAAACAAATGACAAACAAAATCTGCACAGCCGTTGGATGGGCCAGGCCAACTTCAGTGACACAACCCTGTTTTAAGGCCTTGTGGTAGGCCAGCAGACTTTCCAAATAAATCGTAAGCTATAGCAAATATTTGGAAACTCCAATGTCTGGGTTTTGGGGATGAACCTAAATGCTTTCCCTTAAAATTTAGAATACAGTTTCTTAAATTTATTTATTTTTGCAATATTTTAGGCTACCTCAATTACCTGACATTAGGAGATTTACACTTAATCAAACTGCAATTTGATTAAGTGTATTTGAATTAATTATGAAATCTACAATTAAAGTAATCCCAAAATCTAAAACTGGCATCAGATAATGATAAAAAGACTATCTCTAAAGCACTATACTCTTGAGAGCCTATCAAAATAAAACTGTCTTTGCTGCCATCCTGAAGATAGGACAGTGTGTGGGCCATCTGGATCTTGGGGCAAGCAAGTTGTTCCAAAGTGATAAGGCTGAAAAGGCTTTCTTTAGCGTCTAAGACTCTTCCCTCTCAGGAGGAGGGAATGTAAAGCATCCCTCTCAGCTTATAAAATATGCTCCAGTTCTATTCAGAGGAGATAGTCCCTTAGTAAAACTTAACTGGTCAGCACCAAGACTGAATTCTAATTGTAGATTAGTGAAGATATACTAGCAAAACTCTAGGTATGCGAGTAGGCCTATGCATGCTCTGTGCATATCAGAAATAAGTGCCATTGACCTCCTGAGACTTCCAGGTTCCAAATAAAGCTATGTGTTAAAATCTGAGCTAAGGACAAAAATATGGAAGTATTTCAGAATGTAAATACTAGGTGCAGTAAGTACTGTTGTATTCAAACGTTATCTCTTCTCACAAATTGACCTCACCCCTTTCCTAAGAGGTCTGTAGGGGGCGTGCATAAGCGCACCAACGTGCCTACCGTCCCTGTCCTATTGTTTCTCTTATTCTTGTTTTATTTTTCTTATATGTACCCATTTCATGTATTCACAACTATGTATACACTTATACTTATTATCTTGTAAACAATTGGCAAATCAAATAAATAAAAATAAATAAAATAAATAAACAAATGCTATAAAGAACCTCCATTGTCAACAGCACTTCTTTTTCCTAAAGCTTCGAGGAACACAAAGGAGTGATCTTTAGCAGAACTGTGACAAAAAGTTTTCACAATGTAATTCTGCTGGAATTCTCCCTCTCCCCATCTACTATTAAATTAAACAGACAGTTTTAGTGTCGTATGTTGCTTAGTTGTCTCAGCCTTTTTTGAAAGGAATTCAACTAATTGCCTAATCCACTGGAAACCTTCCATAAACAAAACAGAGAGGGGACTTTCCTAAAAATTAAGCTTGCTGTCTAACAGGAGCCTCCCCTTGGCAGTGAACATTAGATGGATTCTACTCTCTGGGTGACCTAGTGTGGTCCTTGATGTATACTGTCATCTATCTATAAATGTTGGTAATAAATACTTTATATAATATTGTTTTAAGGATTATTTAGGCAGTGTAGTTTAACCTCTTGGAAACCTTCAACCCCATATAAAATCTATTCCTGATTATTAATACTTTCACTGAGAACTGTCACAAAAGATTGCATCTCATATTTTTATATCTTTATATAGATGCAGCAACTTGAAAAACAAGTTATTGATGCAGATCATCAAGCAGAAAAGGCTTTTCAGCAGGTATGACTGTAATAAGGAGATATGTAGTGGCAATGTTCTGAAGCTATATGTATAAAGTATGAGGTACTTTAGATAGATGGATCTTCAAATAGAAAGTATCAGAAACTGCTTTTTCAGGAGAGTTTCACAGGAATTTTTTAAAAATAATATGAACAATGAATTATCTTGATGTCTCATGTTTATAATGCTTTTATGGCCATAGATGCAGGTAATCCGTGATGTATAACTGGTCACTTAGTAGCAATTAGAAGTTACAATTGACTCCAAAAAGGTACTTAATATCCCATTTCAAAATGTCAATGGCTGCCCTCCTGGTCATGTGATTACATTTTGGGTGCCTGGCAAACAATCCACATTTATAGGAACTATGTTACTGCAATTTTTTTTTTGTCAGAAACAGGTGTTTATTTTTGGTTTCTAGCAAAAAAGTGGGTTCAGTTTGGTTTTATTACATTTTATTAACCTGATTTTATTACATTTTTTACAACAATGGTCATTAAATGAAACCATTGTAATGTGTAAGGTTTGTTTTTTTTTTTTTTTTTTTGCTAGATGTTCAAGTGATGAAGGGGATGTGGCACAAACATTGTGAGACTTGTATGTAGTGGCAGGGAGGTGTAGCATGAGCATGGGGTAGCTACCGGGAGGGAATGGACGGATGGGAATGTAGTGGCTGGGGAAGTGTGGTGCGAGTGCAGCAAGGCCCAGGGGGATGGCAGAAGAGGCATAGTGTGAACATGGCAGGGCTTGGAGTAGGTCTTTCCAGGCAGAAGTGGATGCACAAATGTGTACGATTTGACTGAAGTCGTGCAGCACAAATGCAGCAGGGTTCAGGAAAGAGTGTACAAGTGGCGGAGAAGATGTTGCTCAATGAGACTCAGGTAAGTATTTTGATTTTTCTCTGTCCTGCTTTTAGCACTGCTATGAGAATTCAGAGTAAGATATAATACATCAAAAACAGTTTATATTACACAGGTAGTCCTCAATTTATGACCACAGTTGAGCCCAAAACTTCTGTTGCTAAGTGAGACAGTTATTAAGTGAGTTTTGTCCCATTTTTGACCTATCTTGCCATAGTTGTTAAGTGAATCATTGCAGTTGTTAAGTTAGTAACATGGTTGTTGGATGAATCTGTCTTTCCCACTGATGTTGCTTGTTCGCAAAGAGGATCACATGACCCCGGCACACTGCAATTGTCATAAATATTAATCAGTTGCCAAGCATCTGAATTTTGATCATATGACCATGGGGATGCTGCAGTGATCATAAGTGTGAAAAATGGTCATGTTACCTTTTTAGTGTCTTTGTAAACTTTGAACGGCCACTAAATGAACTGTTGTAAGTTTTGCATGAACCAAAAGCAATTAAGACCTATCACCCACAGGTAAAAAATGCAAAAGATTAGTTTCTTTTTTAAGATTTATTGTGTCATCACTTTTAAAATAATATCTCATTTGATCTTAATGGGTAAGTATGGTAAAGAAAAAAGCATTCTGCATTAGACATCAGTATGACTTACAGGCAGGGATGGGATTCTACCAGTTCGCACCTATTGGCTAGAATGGGTTATTAACATTCTAAGCAGTTCGGAGAACCGGTTGTTAGAAGAAATTACTGACCTAATCCTGTAAGGGAGGCAGGAAGGAAACATTCTGGAGTTGCTTACAGAAACTGCCTATTAACCCTTATTACATTCTTTGCAGGACTAGACTTCCTGTCTCAGGAACGCCTCTGGGTTTTTTCCTCCTCCTTTGCTGGTACTTTGCTTGTGTGGAGTGACCATTCAAAGTTACAATGGCACTGAAAAAAGTGACTTATGACCATTTTTCACACTTACGACTGTTGCAGCATCCCCACAGTCATGAGAGGCCAGGGGAGGAGATGTGTGCTTCGATGTGAGTGATATTGAGTTGGCCATGCCCAGCCAATAACATAACCATCAAGCCATGCCCACCAACTAAGCCACGCCCACAGAATCAGTTGTTAAAAAATTTGAATCCCACCCCTGCTTACAGGGGTTTGTAATTTATTTCATTGTATTTTATGGTGTTTACATATTGTATTGTATTTAAAATAAATTTAAATCATTTTGACAGTGATGGTTTCCTGACTTTTTTCTACTCTTGTAGTACAGTATCCTGCCCAAAACAGCCCTTGAAGCCTAAGTGATCCTTGAAATGATGTATAACAAACTGAAAAGCAGGAGAATAAACAGATAATGAGGATTTTTTGACTTTCCCTTGTATAAATAGAACTCTCTGGATCCAAGCCACTGTCGTTTGTCATTAAATCTGGTTGTTTGAATTATAGGGTTGAACAATTGTTCAGCTGGAATAACAAATACATATGAAAGATATGAGCAAAATAGCAGATTGCTAGAGATATCGTAAACTAGGATTAGGACTGACAGAAGACATCTCAGAAGACATTCTAAATTATGCATTTAATTTTGGAGTTTTACAGACTTTGTGTACACAGCTGTGTTTTAATTTCTAGGTGCAGATTATGGAGGAGAAACTGAAAGCTGCTAATGTCCAAACAAGTGAGTCAGAAACACGCTTATATAAGAGATGCCAAGATCTGGAGATTCTGATTCAAGAGAAAGATGATGCTATCCAGAATCTGGAACAACAGCTTGTAGAGCAGGTTGGGAAAATAACATTTTTCTTACCCAGTTTTCAATATGTTTATTAGTATGTACAACAGATAAAGAGTGAAAGAAGAAGCCTACAAAAAAGTAATATCCCTAGATTTTTGTGCAGCAAAACTCTTGTTGAGGGAAAACAGATTCGGTAAAGGTATCTATTAATGTCATAGCAAATCTTGGTAAAATGTATAAATTGTTTATATACACCAGACAGCCATTTGGAAAAATATGAAGATTTCTGAAATGGACAACTCATAATTGTATGGCAAGCTATTTAAAATAATGAAAACAGTACTTTTCAAGAGGCCTTTCAGTGAAGATCAGTCCACCAGTAGCAACAGTTTTACTGTAGGTTTTTTACTTTTATTAATACTACTTATGGTTTTTAAGCAGGGACGTGGTAGCTCAGTGGGTAAGACGCTGAGCTTATTGATCAAAAAGGTTGACAGTTTGGCGGTTTGAATCCTTAGCATCGCATAACAGACTTAGCTCCCATTACTTGTTCCAGAATCTGTCAACCTAGCAGTTCGAAAGCATGTTAAAATGCAAGTAGAAAAATAAGGACTACTTTGGTGGGAAGGTAACAGCGTTCCATGCGCCTTCAGTGTTTAGTCATGCCGGTCACATGACATCACATGACATCTTCGGACAGTGCTGGCTCTTCAGCTTTGTAACGGAGATGAGTACTGCCCCCTAGAGCCGGAAATGACTAGCATGTATGTGTGAGGGGAACCTTTACTTTACCATATACAGGTGAAACTCGAAAAATTAGAATATCGTGCAAAAGTTCATTTATTTCAGTAATGCAACTTAAAAGGTGAAACTAATATATGAGATAGACTCATTACATGCAAAGCAAGATAGTTCAAGCCGTGATTTGTCATAATTGTGATGATTATGGCTTAAAGCTCATGAAAACCCCAAATCCACAATCTCAGAAAATTAGAATATTACATGCAATCAATAAAACAAGGATTGTACATAGAACAATATTGGATCCCTGAAAAGTATAAGATGCATATGTACTCAGTACTTGGTTTGGTCCCCTTTTGCAGCAATTACTGCCTCAATGCGGCGTGGCATGGAAGCTATCAGTCTGTGGCACTGCTGAGGTGTTATGGAGGACCAGGATGCTTCAATAGCAGCCTTCAGCTCTTCTGCATTGTTCGGTCCCATGTCTCTCATCTTTCTCTTAGCAATGCCCCATAGATTCTCTATGGGGTTCAGGTCAGGCGAGTTTGCTGGCCAATTAAGCCCAGTAATCCCACAGTCATTGAACCAGGTTTTGGTGCTTTTGGCAGTGTGGGCAGGTGCCAAGTCCTGCTGGAAAATGAAGTCAGCATCCCCATAAAGCTTGTCTGCGGAAGGAAGCATGAAGTGCTCCAAAATCTCTTGGTAGACGGCTGCATTGATCCTGAACTTAATGAAGCACAGTGGACCAACACCAACAGATGACATGGCTCCCCAAATCAACACAGGCTGTGGAAACTTCACACTGGACTTCAAGCATCTTGCAGTGTGTGCCTCTCCATTCTTCCTCCAGACTCTGGGTCCTTGGTTTCCAAATGAGATGCAAAAGTTGCTCTCATCAGAAAAGAGGACTTTGGACCACTGAGCAACAGACCAGTTCTTTTTTTCTTTAGCCCAGGTAAGACGCTTCTGACGTTGTTTGTTGTTCAGGAGCGACTTCACAAGAGGAATACAACATTTGAAGCCCATGTCCAGGATCTGTCTGTGTGTGGTGGCTCTTGATGCACTGACTCCAGCCTCAGTCCACTCCTTGTGAAAGTCCCCAACACTTTTGAATGGCCTTTTCCTGACAATCCTCTCCCTGTTGCTTGTGCACCTTTTTCTTCCACACTTTCCCCTTCCATATAACTTTCTATTAATGTGCTTTGATACAGCACTTTGGGAACATCCAACTTCTTTTGCAATTACCTTTTGAGGCTTTCCCTCCTTATGGTGGGTGTCAATGATGGTTTTCTGCACAACTGTCAGGCCAGCAGTCTTTCCCATGATTGTGATTCCTACTGAACCAGACTGAGAGACCATTTAAAGGCTCAGGAACCCTTTGCAGGTGTTATTGCTTAATTAGCTGATTAGAGTGGGACACTTTGAGCCTAGAATATTGAACCTTTTCACAATATTCTAATTTTCTGAGATTGTGGATTTGGGGTTTTCATGAGCTGTAAGCCATAATCATCTCAATTATGACACATCACAGCTTGAACTATCTTGCTTTGCATGTAATGAGTCTATCTCATATATTAGTTTCACATTTTAAGGTGCATTACTGAAATAAATGAACTTTTGCACGATATTCTAATTTTTTGAGTTTCACCTGTAGTTTTTAATTTTGCATGATTTATATGAATTTTATGGTTATTTTATCACTTATACTGGAAACTGTTTATTTGCAAAAAGAGGCAAAATAATCACTAATAAATTAAAGCCCATTAGCCTGAAAAAGGTTGCTCCTTCTGTTTTAGGTGAATAAAGTGCATTGTTATGAATAAGAATGCAAATTACTCAAAAGCCCATCTTCTTGTTTCAGAAGGAAATCAGAATACAAGAAGCTAAAATTATAGAAGAAAAAGCAGCTAAGATTAAGGAATGGGTAACAATCAAGCTTCATGAGGTAAGTTTCATAATAACAACTCTTAAACCCAATGGAACTCTAGTGTAAGAGTGATATGGAAATAATGTCACCCCATTTACTGAATGACAACCTTTAGCAGCCCCAGAGAACATGACCAACATTTATACATTTTAGATTGTATATGAGCAACAGAACTTTCAGTTTTCTCATTGAGTAGGAAGTAAATAAAATATGTAGGTAAGCCTTCCTTTTACAAACTACTTAACAGTGTGGGTTTCTTCACCCTAAAATTCACACTTCCTTTGCTAACCAAATGATACCTTAAAACTCAGGACAAGTTAAGCCCTAATGAAATAATTATATTATTTATATTAATATCTATTAGTGAATAATTGCCAGTTCTATGTTAACTGGTCAATAATTAGTTTAAAAGTTTTTGTGGACTTGTTCACACTAAGGCTGTGAATTCCTATATGAAAAATGCCTTGTTTTGAAATATGAAAAGTTGCCTAAAATGAGGGTTTATTATTTGTGCTTTCAATTTTTTCAAGTAAAAAATTGACAATTTTTTCTGTTGATTGTGTCTACAAAACATAATACATTTTATTTTGTTTCTATGGAAGAAAAATATTCTAATAATTTTCTCTATCTTTAAAAAATAATAATAGCCATAACATATAAAAACTACTTAAAATAGAAAATCTTTGAAATAGGATCTGAGGTTGAGTTCTATAGTCTTTCATTCATATTACCCCGAGATATAGCAAAATCATTTGAGTTAAATATACTGCTTAGCATTGCAATCATTTGTAAATATACTTAAATGTAACTCCAACCAAGTTGGTGAACTTATTGCTAGGAAAATGGATGTGAGATTGGAAATAATACCATATGAGATGAAAGGAAAGTATAGCTTTCCTTTGGATGCAATCTTTTTCAATACTGTACTTATGAATGGGGCATTTATCTATGTTTTCAGCTAGAAACAGAGAATCAGAACCTCCGTACAATCAATCAAAACCAAACTGAAGAGATTAAGCTGTTGCAGACTAAATTACAAGGTAGGGGATACAAATTCTCAAAACACAGCTGTGTTCCATAATTAAGGAACTAGGGGTTAACTCTCTGAGTATGTCTTTATTGTAGATTGTATCCAATACTACAGCAGGCAGAGAAAACAGTTGTGCCCAGAAATTCCTAAGTATAACATTATTCCACAGTATAACCATCTATAACTTTGTAAAGGTTTTGCTAAAGATTGGTCTAGAGGTCTACAATGTGCTGGAAGGTGAAGGAATAATAAAAACTGAAAGGCTTTTTTTATTTCCATTTGAAATAATTTACAATGTTTGGGTTTATTCCACTGAGAAACCACAATGACCCAGTCATTGTGGTTTCTAAACTACAGATTATGGTGAACCCAATCTTTATTTCTGAATTACCTCTTTTCTCTAAAACTATGGTAAATGACACTGTGAAACCAATATTAAACTTAAGAAGATACATAATGTTAAACAGAAATATCATAAATATAGAGTTGTCTACAAATAGTCCTCAGCCCACCACCATTTGTTCAATGACCATTCAAAGCTGCCATAATCACATGATTGCGATCAGAGTGCTCGATGACCAGTTCACTTAGAGTCGGTTGCTGTTCCACACAGTCACGTGATCACCATGTGCAACCTTCCCTGCTGATCTACTCATTGATTTAGGGGGAAAGTCAATGGGGAATCTGGCAAAGAAAACAATAAATTGCTGGGTAAGTCTCCTCCACCCACACACCTGCCTACATTTCCTCTATGCTTTGCTGGGCTTGCCACTCATATCACCCTACTATCTCTTAGACACTCTTCCTGACTCGCATCACATCTGTACATATCTTCACTGGTCTAAGCTGCACTCCTGCACCCCCTCCCTGTGATGACCTAGGGCGTGACACAAAGGCAACACAATCACATAAGTAAGAAGAGTCCCTTTAATACCTCCAACTTTTCCCCAATGTCCAGTTACCTTCGACTGGAGAAAAAACTCTCCCAAGAACAGTCCGAAAACAAAGTACATACAAACTGTAAATAAAAATCCACATAAAAGATGCTGCAGCAATTAACTTACAGGGCAGGATAAGGAATTGCAGACTTGAAAGCCCAGCAAAACACATACAGTTGGGAAGACGTCAGGAACCCAGATAAGCCTCGACATTAACAGATAACTCATGATTTGCTTCCAACAAGTTGCTGTGCGCAACTTTTCTTTTTAAACACTGTGTTCCCAGCTGCAGCTAATGAAGGGAATCAGGGCCCTTTCCTCCCCCATAAGTCACGCAACTCACGTTGCTCCCTTCTCCGTTCCTCCGTGCATGCCCTAGGATGAAGAGGGGGTGGGCCTGAGTCTTCCTCCGAATTCCCTCTCCCTTGCTGAACCTCTCCCCTGCTCTGCCCAGTTTCTTCCACAGCCAATGGAGCCACATTCCCACTCCCTGTCAGCTGCTTGGCCTCCCCCTCTGAATCAGATTCCAACAGGGGTATGACAGTCCCCAACTCTTGTTGCATCTCTTATGTATCACTCTTGTATATTCTCCCTAATCCTCATCATGTTCTTCTTTACCCCCTAGATATCCCTTTACTCACCTATCAGGCCTGGGACTTACAACTTTCTGCTGGCTTCCTAACTGACTTTGTGGGAAGCAAGCAGGAAGCTGCCTCACCTAACAACTGTGGGTTTCAGTTAATAACAGCAATTAGAACTGCAGGGATTGCTGTCACTAAGTGACATGAGCACGTGACATGAGCACGTGACATTATGCTTTATAACCACATCATATAGCAGTTCTGGTCTCAATTGCCACCATAAGCTGAGAACTACTTGTAATATCAAAAGTTCAGCCTCTCAGCTTTTAAAATAAATAATCTAATGTTATAAATACATTAAATGTTGTTACATAAATTATTACTTAAACAGAGCTTCAGGGAAAGAAGTCTGTTTCTTCATCACAAAAACCTGGAGAAGGCCAGCGCCTGAGCAGTTTGACTTTTGGATGCTTCTTAAACAGAGCAAGAAGTCCTCAGCAAGTTCCTAAACCTGAAGATGCAAGCAGTTCTGCTTCAAAGCAGGTTGATCATAATGAAAACCACAAAAGTCAAGGTATTTTAAGTTCTAGAATGCAGTTCTGGCAATTCAATCATAGGCAGGTGTGCTAAGGAGTACTTTCCATTTATTTAAATAAAACTTACTTCTAAGAGAATCCCTATTTGGATTATAGTCCTCAAACAATCCTAAATGCTTAGGATTTGAACATGTAAAATTCCTTTTTCTCCAGAATGAATCTATATTAATCCAATAAATTAAAGGTTTATTGAAAAACCTATGCCTGGGGGAAAAAAGTAAGATCCCTCAGTTCCTAGGGGAATTGGTTTGGGAAAAGAATGATATGCAGTACTTTATTAAAAGCAAGAATGCTAATCAGGTTATTTAAACATTTAATTAATAGCCTATCATTCATTTTATGTTTAATATAGCATATACCACATTCCAGCCTATTTTTCCTTATAACAAAATCTGTAAAATAGGCTGGGCTAAGAAGATTACCAATCCAAGATTACCAGTGAACCTCTATGACTAAAGAACCTGGCTGGACTAGAACCTGAGTCTCATTGTTCCTTAGTCCAGCACTTTAATTTATTACTTCTAATTTGGCTTTCTTGTTTGTGTCAATTATACTAAAAAGTCTTATGTTGACAGGAGAAACAGCCTTGTGTTAATTTAATCCTACTAAATAATTATATTGTCCACAACATTGGGAAAATGCCATATTTTGCAACATTGTGGTAGTATATTACATCTTCACTAGTTACTGATGTATGTTTCCAATGTTTATTCTTAAGGCAAGCATCGAAGATATTTTTCCATGGCAGGTATAATGTAATTAATTACTTTTCATCATTCATCAAAAATGATTTTCATGGCTATAACAGTATTACGTTGTTACAGTATTATCTGAAAGCAGGACTAGTCTTCATAATGTAGAAAATAATGTACCAGAGTATATTGTACTATGTCACCTACAAAGTAGAGTTTAGAACATTTTCCCATTTAAAATAATAACTAATAAAATAGTAGGAAAAGGTTATACTTCACCTAGAGAAAAATTCTGGCCTTTCCCACCAGGGGTGGGATTCAAATTTCTTAACAACTGGTTCTGTGGGTGTGGCCTAATTTGTGGGTGTGGCTTGGTGGTCATGTGACTCGCTGGGCATGGCTTGGTGATCATGTGACTCGCTGGGCATGGCTTGTGTGTAATATAAATATTTATGTAAATTTTTTATTTAAAAAAGAGCAACGTTTACCCAAAATCAGGCAAAGCAGTCAGGCAGATTGAGTTGCTCACAGAATCACAGATTCATTCAGAGATCTATCTTTCTGAAATCAGCTACCTGAGTCTGTCACATAAAATTTGTTTGCTAGCAAACTCATAAAATTTGCTAGCAAGCAAATTCACAAAATTAACTCACAACACATTATGTATGTAAATATTGAATTTTTTATTTAAAAAACAGCAACTTTTACCCAAAATCAGGCAGAGCAGGCAGGCAGATTGAGTTGCTCACAGAATCACAGATTCAGATCTGTGTTTCTGCCATCAGCTACCCGAGTCTGCACTGAATAATAGAAGCTTCAGGCTCAGCTCTGCTTTTAGATTAGCTAGAAAGCAAGAAATCCAATGATTTCCTGCTTTCTAGCTAATCTAAATCTCCCGGCTCAGCAGAACAGCTAATGGTCGGGGGAAAAAAGGAAAAATAGCAATATAGCAGGCAAGTTTGATGACGCACATGCCAGGTAAGGAGCGAGGGGGCAGGGCGAGTCCAGCCAGTGGCGCAATTTGCCAGTTCTCTGGCAGGTAGAAACCCACCCCTAGTGAGAGTGCATTTTGCACATGCGTGTGTAGACCATTTCCTAAAATCCTCAGCTGTGCCGCCTGGACAGCTGACAAGCGCTGTGTGTGGGTGCGCAGCATTTGAAAATCCTCTTCTTTCCTGCTTTTTCAACCTCAGCTGTGCTGCGCAAAGCAGCTGAGGTTGAAAAGGCAGGAAATAAAGGACAGCCAAGAGCCCGGGTGGGCGGCTGGGCCAAACAGAGCAGCAAAACCAGTTCGGTGTCTACTGTTCTTCAGAGCTACCGGTTCTATAGAACCGGGCTGAACTGGTAGCATCCCCCCCGTTTCCCACTCTGGGCTAATTTTTACTTGTTGGGGGAATATTTGTCTCTATTAACCTAGAGGAGCATTAAACCTGTAGTCTTTACCTGCATTCTTATGTTATACTGTCTTCTCTGCTACTTCATTCTGCTGTATTTATAAGTAGCCATTTCTTGGATTGCCTCTATCAATTCACCTCTGTCTTAGGATGCTTAAAAAATGAGGTTTTTGCTTGGCAGTGATGCTGCTTTTTTCATGGATCTTTAAAGAATCTACCAGATAATACAGTTTTCCATTTGTAATCTTGCTCTGTTCCTCTCCCCGCTACTGTTTTTCTTTTTCTTACCATAGAAAATCAATTAAGAGGAGATGGAATATCTCTAATATCTTTGGATTACTGGTATTAGGAATCTTCTGTATGAAAGCACTGTTTTATAATCCCAATTGTTATCTGCATATACTATTATTATTTCCTGGTCTGAAAACAAAATGGATTTTAATGTTTATTATTTGTAGATGTTTGTTACAATTTTCTGCAATGTTGTTACTGTTTCCCGGTGTCTAGAGAATGAAATTCAGGAAACATCCCTTGCTGGCCAAGTACATGGAAATAATAGAAGTCTGAAACCATTGCAACAAAACCCTTGCATTCCTGAACAAAGGATGGCAACAAAGTCAAAAGATACAGATAATAATATATCAAAGAATTCTTGCATTACAGTAAGTGACTGGAGCTCTGATGAAGAAGGAAGCAAAGGAAGATCAAAATCCAGATGTGTATCTACGTTTTCAAGTCACACATCTGAAGAGGGCACAGGGTATAGCAGAATAGGGAGCGAAATGTATTTGACAGCATCAGATGATAGTAGTTCCATGTTGGAAGAAGAAAGCTTTCAAGCTCATGGAAATGTACATAAACTATATTCCTGGCAACCAGAGTCTTCATGGAAAAATCAGAACCATCTCATTGGAAAGAGCAACTTTGAATCATTCAGTGAAAAAAAAAGTCATGATAGCTTTTCAGATGAACTGAATAAGAGATTTCAATCCCACAGGCTAGATTATTCATCCTCTTCTAGTGAAGCAAATACTCCAAGTCCAATTTTGACCCCATCTTTGGCTCCTAAGCATCCATCACTGATGCTGTCAGCAAGCTATCAGTCTGGCAAACAGCTTGATTCTCCATCTAATCTGCCACCGCCCAAACTGAGGACTCCTAGTGCTTTTATTCTCAATACAGCATTGGCCAAAAAACATTTTAGCCAGCCTTCCTTGTGTTCAGATAAACTGTTTGGCAAAAACAGGAATGCTATAAGCATGATACGTCCATTTAAGCCCCAGGAAACAGATATTGATCAAGTAGATGGAGATGATGCAGAGGTTTTTGAGAAGATGGAGATTAGTTGTAATGAGGAATCATTTACTTATGATTGCTGTGAAATGAAAGATACAGAAACCATGGATTTGAGTGATTCAGGGAAGGTGATTAACAATAAACCTCCCACTCCTCCGCTACATCGATTCCCTTCTTGGGTAAGTGAAATAGGTATAATAATATAATAATATTCCAGATTGTTAATTCAACTACAGATTACTCATGTTCCACTGTTATTTTGTTTTATAAATGTGGCTTTTCCTTTTTTAACCACTGTGGCAGATAATTTTTCTCACAGCTTGTTTTGAAAAGATTAGTGGCAATTCTTCTCTATTAAAATTAACTGCAGATAGTAGATGGCAGTATCTACTTGACTTTGGCTGTTCTCAAAAAAGCTAAACGGGTCAACCTGGTTAATTCTTGAACGGGATGTTATCAGGAAATCCCGGCACTTGGATTTATAAAAACTGTCTAAGAAGATGACAAAGGCACACCATTTCTATGTCATTGCCAAAAAAAAAAACTGTATAGACATGTCCATGTAATTATCAGGAATCAGTCTTGACAAAAGACAGTCTTTATCCTTACATATAGACAGTCCTTAACTTATAAGCTTAACTTACAGAGCCACGGTGGGACAGTGTTTAGAATGCAGTATATTGTAGGCTAATTCTGCCGACTGCCAGCAGTTCAATTGTTACTGGCTCAAGGTTGACTCAGCCTTCCATCCTTCCAAGGTTGGTAAAATGAGGACCCAGATTGTTGGGGAAATATGCTGACTCTGTAAAACATTTAGAGAGAAACCAACTGCTTATAATAGATACATAAATGTAATGTTGCTAGAAAAATATATAATAGCAGCTCTGTTTTCTTCTTCAGGAAAACAGAATTTATGCTGTAGCCAAATCAGGTCTGTGCTTTTCTGAGGTCTTCAAAATGGACTCTTTCAATAAAAGTAAGTTATTAGAATAGTTATTTAAAGTGAATTGCTGAGGCAAGTCCCTTTGACTACTGTAAGATTTTCTTATCCATAATCAAAGAAGAAAAACCTTTACTTAACACTCTTTGGGATTTCAAAGGTCCTCAACATCTGAAGACAACTCCCAGATAAAACTTTACTTTTTAATGGATTTATTATGGCCAGCATGAGTAAATATTGGCTGAATAGTTCATTTGTGTGTGTGTGTGTGTGTGTGTGTGTGTGTGTGTGTGTATACTTTTTGAATTTGAGTTTTCTATCTGAAATATGCATATTTAAATAAAAAAATATAAACTAATCTTATATAAGTTTTTCCCAGACTATCTATTCAGCAAATGAACTAATCTTTTTTAAATTAAAAAAAATTATACACTCAGTATTTTCTCTATTATTATTATTATTATTATTATTATTATTATTATTATTATTATTATTATTATT